TATATATATATTTATATCTCAGTAGTATTATCTAACAGTAGCATCTAATGCAATAAATATGTCTATGTGTATATACTTTTATATGCAATTGCATGTTAAATGTGCATGTTGATTTTCACATCTTATTTTAATTTAAGATATATATTTATAAATCTGTCTTATCGCATAAATATTATTATACATGTGTTTCATAGAAACAGACAAGATTTCTTTCTTAAGTACGATAACAAAATATTGATTAAGTATTCTTTTGTAGGATTCAATTAATACCGTCGATAAAGGAAGTCGTGGTAATTTAGAATGTCAAAGCGCTTCACCTCCGCATGGAGAACAACGTGCACAACATGTAATTATTTAAGTTATATCTTTAAACTGTTCAAACTGATCAATATTCTTAATCTAATTTTTGATTTTTTCCAACACAGCCGTTAGTAAGTCGACATGATGAATTGAGAGAACGTGCTAGACAATTATTAGAACAAGCCAGAAATCAATCGAAGCCTGCTGGTGTTGTTTCCGTTGCTACTAGTCCCATCGAGGTTTATTATCTTTCTCAATTCTTTTTATTTTATGTTATAAATATCAATTTTATTCCAAATTTATTGTTAATACTTTAATCAGACTCAAAACGAAGACGAAAGGCAACAACAATTACGAGAAAGAGCAAGACGTTTGATAGCAGAAGTAAAAATGGGTGTTAATCCGAGTCAAAATAATGATGATAATAATAGTGATAGACGATCAATGGATGATCAGAATAATAGTCCAAGAAGAAGTGTTACGCCATCCACACCTGGAGATAGATTAAGCATAAAGGTCAGTTTATATAACAAATAATTATTAAAAAATATATATCTATGATTTAATGATTAAACAAATTCTTAAATATATTTTAGTCTGAGTACAATGGAAATATACTAGGTAATACAAGCGAAGTGGAGAAAAAAACTGGTTCACCTTTATATTCATTCTCTAAAATTATAGAAAGAATTTCTCCTGACAAAAGTAGTCCTGATAAGACTTCTTATACTCTCAGAGGCGTATGTTATACTATAATATAATTATTTTCTAAATTACTATTATAAAGAAAAATATAATTAAATGAAAATAATTAAATTAAATAAATAAGTTTAATTTATAATAAATTTAATATATGTGAAATTAAACTTATTCTTTTAATTGCATTATTATCAAAATTAAATAATATATGAATATTAAAACATAATAAATACAAAACTAATATACAATTAAATGAATAAATGTTGGAATTATATTTAGTTGGGTAAAGATATGACGTCATATATTCAAAACGAGCTTGAAGCTTTAGAGAGAGAACAAACTCAGATAGATATACAAGCTGGTAAACTTGAGAAACAACTTAGAGCTGCCATGGAAAGTGATAATGAAGATGAAACTGAAAGACTGATGTCTCTGTGGTTCATGCTTGTTAATAAGAAAAATGCTTTATTGAGAAGACAAATGCAATTAAATATATTGTAAGTTTACTTCTCCTCCTATACATATATATTTTTATAAATCAATACAGTATTAAGATATCGTCGTATCTTTTTACAGAGAAAAGGAAGATGATTTAGAACACCGTTTTGAACTTTTAAATCGCGAATTAAGAAGCATTCTCGCTGTGGAAGATTGGAGAAAGACGACTGAACAAAAGATGCGTGAAAATTTATTACTGGAAGAATTAGTGTCAATTGTTAACAAAAGAGATGAATTGGTACATCATCTTGATACTCAAGAAAGAGCGTGAGTAATCTTATTTTATATTACAATTTTTTTGTTTTGTTTTATTATCACATTAATAAGCGATTAACTTTTATCCGAAAATAAATATTGAAAGAAAAATATTTTTCTTCATTAGTATCGAGGATGACGATGAAATAGAACGCGATTTATCAAGGGCAGGCTTAGCTCAACGAAATAAAAATTGTGTCGTACAATGAACGTATCCGATTTTAACAATTTTCATCGTTAGAATTCATTCTTTAGAAGTTCACAAGAGAGGTAAAACAAGTTGGTAAAGTATATGCGATATTTTTGAGAAAGAAGAACGAAAAGAAGAAAAAAAAAAGATAAACAGAACAAAAATGATAACGATAATAAGTTACTAGTACAGCAGTAATATATAAGCAATAAGAAAAGTTACACATATACGGTGTCACGAGAGTCATGCAAATGTATGCATTACACAGGCACCACTATATTCGTTTACTTGTGGAGTTGCCAAAGAAAATAAAAATTATCCAGTGTAGATCTTTTAATATTTTTCATTCGAGCAATAATAATAATAATAATAATAATAATAATAATAATAATAATTTATAAGTCTTTAATTCTGTATTATCATATTATTGAATTTTATTTTATCTTATTTATATATCTCTTCCAGGGATAATAATGGTCTGATATTTTATCATAGATAACAACATGTATTTATGATACGTACGTGTTACAATATGTTTTAATTTTCATTTATTTTACATTGAACATATTAAAATTCATTTAATTATCATTATATTTATATTAAACGTTCGAGTTAAAATGTAAGATTAAAAGAAAAAAAAAAGGAACAAGAGAAAATGTATAAATTAATACGGTTATATTATTATGGATTTGTAAATCAATAGGTGTTTGCAAATAATCGTTTCATTTATAATCAATCGTTCAGAGATAATCATTTTTTAAATGAATGAAAAATGAAATTCATTTTTCATTTTATCTCCCACAATTTAGATAATTTATAAAATTCGAATAAATAAATATATATACATATATCATTGCTTAATTCTCATCCAATTTAATCGAATATTACTAGAATATGGTAACATGCAAAAAAAAAAAGCTAATTTATCTTCTCTTTGAGTGTCACAAGTGAGAACGGTCTCTCTAAAAATTGAATATTTATCATTGAATAAATTCATATTAAAAAGACGGTATATTAATCCAGACATATTTATAGGAAAAGTTATCAGCAATGATTTTCAATTGAAATTTTACCTTTGCTAATTGATAAGATATAAGGGAGATATTTTAAAGGGAATAACATATATATATATAATGACTAAAATTAAATTCATCAACTACTACATATAAATTCTACACTTGTGCCATATGGACATTACAAATTTTATATAAAAAGAAACGAGAATAAAAAAAAAAAGAAAACTTATGCACATACATGCTTGACCATGCTGCTGCTATAAAAAAATAAAAAAAATAATAGAAAAAAAGAACAAAAATAAAATAAAAGGTGTTAGTTGCTATTTATGGTGTGTGCAATTTTTATAGTTTATAATTTTTAGAATATTTAATTTAACAATAAGAAAACATATGTAATGTAAATTAATTTTCCTAAATACTTTCAATATTCATATTTTCTATACGGAATATTTGTTTGCGCATAATATTACATGATATTCATTTAATTATATATTTTTACAATATTTATTTTATCATTAAGACATGACGCATTTTGCAAATTTTATTTTAGATTCACATCTGGCCTAATGTTTTTCTTTTTTTTTTTTTTTAATTAACGAATATTATTATTTACCTTTCGAAACATTGAACAAAATTGGTTCTTTTTTGTTCAACTTTTGTAAATACGAAAAAAACGCAATCACGATTCAAGATTATTCGTGATAATTTATCTGTATTTTATTATTTTTAAATATCACGTTGAACAATATCCAATACACTAATCGAAGTAATTTAAAATTCGATTTTAAATAGAACCATTTATTATTAAGACATTTTGACAATGCGAATAAATAACAACATTAGTTTCTCTCTCTCTTAATGAAAAATATTATGTATTTTAATTTTTTGTTATTTAAGTAAATATCTTATATGCGATATAATAATAATAATAACAATAATAATATTTATAATAATAAGATAATTAATAATATTAATAATAATAATAATAATAATAATAATAATAAAAATATTAACATTAATAATAATAATAATATAATATTTGGTAATTGTTAAGTGTAAAGCGTGAAAATTGCATAAAAAAAAAAGATGTAATGTTTGACATGTGTCCGATAACATAATAAAAATTAGGATTATAAATATTTAAAATTTAAATATAATGAAAAAGAAAAGAAAAAAAATCTGTAAAGCGATCTCTTCTGTATCCTCGTGGTTTGATTGGAAGAAACCAAATCCTTGCTTGATCTCATTTCTTGGTTTAAATGTAA